AAGGCAACTCACCAAGGGCATTAGCGATCAACGCGCCACCAACAGCACCGACGGCGAGACCGCCGGCAGCACCGAGGAGCATGCCGCTGCTGCTGCTCTTCTTCTCCTTGTCCTTGGTCTCGCCGTACGGGTTCTGGCCCTGGGGCTGGCCGTAAGGAGCGCCGCCATACTGGGGTTGACCGTACTGAGGCTGGCCGTACTGAGGCTGCTGGCCGTAGCCGGGAGCTCCGCCGTAGGGGGCGCCGCCGTACTGCTGGGGAGGTGCGGGGGAGCCGTAGCCGCCGTGGCCCTGGTCTCCGAAAGCTCTAGTGTCGGAGGGGGGGACGGGAGGGGGGGCGCCGTAGCTGGGGGTGCCGACCGGGCCGGTGGGGGGAGACGGGTGCTCCCACTGGGAGCGACCGGAGCTCTGGTCAACATAGAACCATCTCTGGTAGCTGCAAGGAGGTCAGCGGCAACGCCCGGGAAATGGGGTCTTCGGGATGCGGCTCACTTGGAGTCCCACTGGCAGAGCCAGCCCTGAGAGACGGAAGGAGCGGCCATCGGGGGCGCGGACTGGGCAGCCGGAGGGGTGGGTTGGCCGTAACTGGGCTGACTGCCGTAACCGGGTTGAGGCTGTGCCTGCGAGGGGTAAGGGTAGTTGGAGGGAGGAGCGCCGTATTGCTGCTGCTGCGGGTGATCACCGTAGCTGCGGGAGCCTGGTCAAAGAAGCACGAGTCAGTAACCTTATCGAGACGACGATGACAGATCGATGGGATCCCGCTGACATCAAACGGGGTGTTTTGTAGGTGACGAGCAGGTAGTGAATGTGTCAATGGTAGCGAGGAGGACGAGAGGAGGACAAGAAATAGGACGGCTTGGGAGATGTTGAAATGTCCCTCTGGCAGGGAAGGCGGGAAGGGCTGGGTGACACGAGTGCGACTTACCAGTCTGCTCTTGGGGAGGTTGCTGCTGCTGCTGCTGCTGTTGCTGCTGGGCGGCGGGCTTGTCGTCGGAGAAGGAGGTCTTGAGCTCCTCGAACTCCTTGGTGAGCTTCTTGAAGAAAGACATGGTTCCTTTCTTCGGTTCGGTTAAGTAATGGGGATACGGGAAGTTGTGAGTGGTGAAGGACGGATGAGGCGGCAGAGGCCGAGAAAGATCGAGGGGTAGCTGTCGCTGCGTAAGCCTCAGGTTTTCTGCAGTTTTTATGGGCGGTGAAGCAGAGAAGAGGAGATCTGTCGGAAACACGTCAAGGGCAAGAGGGGAGCGGGCGGTTACCTGTGATGCGTTGACAGCTCGTTGGTCCACGCGATGTTCGTCAAAAATCTTGGCCTCTTTGTACTGCGGCGGGCGTGGAGGGCCAGGTGGATGCCTCGCAGATGTGTGGAGGAGCACAATGGGTTCCCTCCCGGGGGCCGGAGCGATGGCTAGCGAGGCGGGCACCGCAGTCACGCAGTGCAGTGGACGACGGGCAGCTTGTGAAGAAGGAAAGCACCTCACAGGCGGCTCGGGACAGGTGCGTCAGGCTGTGGGAGACACCTCAGAGGTCAGAGGTGAGATGGGATGAGGTACAGACGATTTGTGTATGGTCCGGGGTCTGGGTACCTTACCAGACGGGAAGGCACGAGGCACGGGCGGTGGTGAAGCTGGGGTGCCTGCCTCAGGTAGGTGAGGTCTATTAAACGCGCATGCACATCACCAGAGTCTTTCTTGCTGATGATTCATACGTAGAGTTTCTTTTCTTGGACTAACAGTGGCAACAGGTGCAGCCCAACGTGCTTTTACTCGGCTGCCTTGGGTTCCGTACCTTATACAGAGATAACCAGTGAGGTCAACCAGCTACAAGTCTTTAGCTGCCCTTTCCGTATCGTGTACGATACCTACCTAGGTACGGTGAATATTCGGGCGGGGAGCCAGGCGGCGTCTCTGCGCTAGTGGCCGTAGTGCCCGGGACAGGTGAACCGCAGAAAGTAAGGCAGGAGCGTTGGAACGTCCAGTGATTGGCAGCTCTGGCTTCCCGGTCTGGTAGGGCAGGCACCGGCAGGGGTCCACAGGGTCCAAACGACGGGGACAGGGGCATCGATTTCAGAATTCAGACCCGGGGAGCTCCTTTGGGCTGTCCGCCCGCAAAACACCAAACAACAGCAGCAGAGGCCTGACTCCTGAGCCGTCAAGGTTTGGGTGTGCCGTGTCAGCTACGGTTCGAGCCTGGAAACCGGCTCTCAAAAAAGGACAAACATGAGACGTGCTTCAGCTGGTTCCCTGCAAAGCCGTAGCCGCACCGGCGCTCCGCCCTGTCCGCTGCCTTCCCACCCGGCCGGTTTAAACATGGCGAGCGTGCCAAGAACGGCCTAGTCTGCAGATTTGTGCTCGCCTTACCCACCAAACTGCCTAGTAATTGAGTTTCTACCTTATTACCTGTGGAGGCGTGCTAATTCACTGCGAATTGGGGAGCTAACCGCAACGGGGAAAAATATGACTCTCTGAAGAAAACTCACCGTCCGTGGCCCGCGGTCCGCGGCGGTGGCTGACTCTCTCTCGACCTTATCCGTACGTCTGCTCGTCGATGGCCATCTGCGCTCACCAGTGGTTCCATGCAGCGCGCCGTCCTTCATTCACAGCGCCGAGCCAAATGAGTGGGGGTGACCCGGCCTGCTGACAATGACCGATGACTGGCGTGAGGGTGCAGCGACGAGAGACGGACAGAGGAGGAAGAAGAAAGGGTCAGATGTCTGGTGCGTTGTACGTCTGCAGTTGGGTTGCGGCGATGATGAGAGATAAATACAGCACACGCCCGATCGTGGCTGGTCGTCGACTGATGAGACTCTGAACAGCCGCCTCTGCATCGTCGTCCAGGGCCAATGAAGCCACGAGCGAGGGGCGCCGCTCCAGGGGTCTCAGAGACCCCCAAAAAGCCTCCAACGGGCTGGGCAACGGGTCTCAAGACTCGTTGACGACCGCCCATTTGCTGCCAGAAGCATGCCGAGCTGAGGAGCTGCAGATAATCTAACGCTTTTGGAGTGGACGCGTAACTCCGCCAAGAGCAAAAAGATGGGCTCTTGGATGCCGACATATCCACCGCCGCGGCGTCTTGAAGAAAAGCCAAGCAACACCGCAAAAGACCACATGGCATGGGATGGGATCGGTATGACCGTTTGCTGCCCATGTCGACCTTATCCCAAGCGCACAGCATCTTTTGCCGCAGCAGCACAATGAACAGAGATGCGCCACGGGGCTATGATTGTGAAATGCGACGCTGCATACAGTCTGTATAGTACGCCAAGGAAACTTACACAGACGCTCCTTGTTATGCGCTCCCCAAGACGTTCTGTCTGCCGTGCGAGCCCGGTATCCCGGCCGGCCCCCGTTCCATTTCCTCTCGGCTCTGTCAGCGATCCTCGTCGTCTGGCATGACCATTGGATCCCTATTCGGCGTTGCTTCTGCAGACCCGCGGCCCCGAGGGACCCCTTAGATGCGCAAAGACCCTTGAGCCACCTCGACGGCCCAGATTTGTGTGAGGCGTAGCCTTGGACAGAGACCAGTCTTTGAACGCGTACGGTATGATTTACCGAACGCGTGTAAGGATACGGCAGAGCGACTCGCCGCAGCGCTGCCGCCAAAGGCTCGGCGTGGAAGGCGCGGAAACGGGGACTGGGGACCATTCACCTCGGCCGCACCGTAACGGGTATCCGTACACTAATAAGCAACTTTTCTCACGTTGTGACTGACTGACCGGCCGACCTATTTCCTTGCTGCCCTCCCATCCCGTCCGTCCTCCTTTTCCCCTGCATCCTTCATCTCTCTCTCCGTCTTGCTCGTTCTTTCCGTTTGCCTTACCTTACCCACCTTTCCCTTCGCGACCGCCTTATTTTTCCCTAAAACAGATACCCTCGCACTCTTGCGACCTTCATCACAACATCACCAACTTCACACCACTAATCACCACCAAACAACCGTCATCATGTCTGGATACCCTCCTCCCGGTCAGCAGTAAGTATCGCGTCGCCCGCCTTCTGATCAAGTCGCAAACTGACACGCGCCTGCCAGGCCCTACTACGGCTCTCCTCCCCCTCCCGGCCAGCCTGGTTACGGCCCTCCTCCCGGCCAGCAGCCCGTAAGTTCACATCGCCTTCACGAAGACGAAGGCCTGCTCACACCCTCTCCAGATGTACTACCCTCCCCAGGGCCAGGCTCCCCCTCCCCAGGAGGAGAAGAAGGATGACAAGGGCTGTCTCTACGGCTGGTAAGCAAACCCCCCCATGTGCGGTCGCACAACGGTGACTGACACTGTCTCAACAGCATCGCCACTCTCTGCTGCTGCTGGCTCTGCGGAGAGACCTGCGAGTGCTGCCTGGAGTGCCTGACCTGCTGCTTCTAATCAACGCGCATAATACCGATGCACGAGTGCGACAACAAGAGATTCCCCCGAACGCGACCACGGCCTTGCTACTCTTTGGTTCGGAAACGGATGGACGGATGGTAGATGGACGGATCGCCAAAGGAACCCGCATAGCTTCTTTAGCCCTCGGACAGACCAGACGATGAATTCGATGTTTCTTCGAACCGCACTCATTCTCCCGGAAAGCCCAGGCATCGTGCGTCAAGTGTGACGGACGGCGACCCACGGCATTCGGATGCACATTATCATTTTTTTGTCTTACGATTACCCACATTGGCGATTGCGTTTCGCATATTTCCCCTTGTCGATTTCTGGACGAGTACTTTCGTAGTAAGCTCACGGGTGCCAACACTCGAGAGCAGATAATACAATTAGCAGTCCATCAAGGATCTGGTGTCTTGGAGATTGTGTGAGCATAGCTGTGATGCATAATAAGTGTCTGAGTGTGTTTGCTGTGATGCGTGTTGTGCCAAGTGTTTCGCCGCGTCAAACCACCTGAATACCTCACTGTACCTTTGGAGAAAGGGTATCAAGGCAGCAGTGACTTCTTTTTCCTCCCCTCCCGTCGTCGATAGATGTGCCAAAACTAGAAAACATTCCCAAATAGCCTCGTCGCCGCATCGCCTACGCCTTGGTGTCCTTCGGGGCCATGAGCTGGACGAATTCCTGGTCTGTTCATTTCGCGAATTGCACGTCAGCCGCAATCCTCCGAAGGGTGTACTATATTTAGTCTAGGAAATTTGGGTGGGGGCGAGGAGGGGAATAGCGAGATGCGGCCGTCGGCAGAGCAGCGGAGAGCAGCAGTAGCGCAGGGCAATTTTGCATGCTGCTGCTGCTGCTGCTGCTGCTGCTGAAGCGCGGTCGTGCAGCGTTGCAGCGCAACCCGAGTCGACCGCTTGGGGATGAAGCTTACAGTCAATGGAACCGTTGCCGTCCAGATCGGCGTGCCTGATCATCTCCTCAATCTCCTCGTCGGTGGCGCGCTGACCGAGAGAGAGCAGCACCTGGCGCAGCTCTGACGGCGAGACGGAGCCGCTGTTGTCCTTGTCGAACACCTTGAAGGCGGCGGTGAGCTCTCTGTTGGGGTCCGCGGCCTTGCTCGACGTCGCGGGGGCCTCGCTCATCAGGTCGAGGAATTCTAGCAGCCGTCAATCGCCAGTTCGTTCGTACGTGACGTCGGGCCTTACCGTCGAGGCTGATGTCGCCCTTGCCCTTGGGGTCGACTTCCCTCATGAGCTCCTTGACCTCTTCGATGCTGGGGTTGAGGCCCAGGGACTTCATGGCGATGCGAAACTCCTCGGCATCGATGCCGCCTGGTCACGAGGCCGTGTCAGTGTGTGTATTGTCGTGGGAGGTGCGTGTTGGGACTAACCGGTGTTATCGCGGTCCTGTCCATCGGGGGCACGTTAGTACTAGACTGATGTTCGTCCCAAGAAACCAGGGTCTCTGTAATGCGATCGCCGTGGCTCGGGGCAGGGTTGGGGGTTCGTGGACATACCCATACGGAAAAGACTGCCTTGTAGTCCTTGACTTGCTCCTCGGTAAGGTTGTGGCGCGCCTGCATGAAGACGACGGATTAGAGCCCGTCAATCTCGTGGATATCGGAAACACAGCAGCAGCTCTATCTGAAGCTGGCGGTGCGAAAGGAGGGGCAAGTAGCGACGCACCATTTTTTTTATGAGTACTGCGGGCGTGAAAAGAGCGTCGGTGCGATTGATTCGGGCGTGCGCGGTGTCGGGTTATGGGATCGTTCGTCCGGTTCGAGCTGTATCGCGGTCGCTGGGATCGTCAAGTGTTTGTTGTTGACGCTGGGAAGGGGATGGATTGCAAGATTGGAGGGGAAAGGGAGGAAAACATGAGGTGAGGACCCCTCGGCTTGCCTCAGCCTGATTGACTGATTGGATTCACTACCACTACGTGCCTAGTTTTACGAGCCACCACTAGCTAGACCTTGTCGTTTGCCTTGTGCTGCCGATGTCCGCGCCCCAGCTCGACTAGTAGAGCTCCAGCCCAGCCCAAGCCAAATGCTTGTCCAGCTGTGTAAAGTGTGCCTTGTTTGTGAATTTGTCCCGCTAGCAGAGAGCCTGGCTGGGGAGGCCAGTAGTGGTGCAGCACTGCAACGCCGTCGCAAGAGTCAAGAATCAATCACCCACGCAATTTTCCTGATGGGCAGTGTGGTCCCTTGCTGCAGTCTGGTCGTCGTCGGTCTCTCTTCTTATGAAGTGTCCCTCCTCCAGACTTCCCCTCACTCTGCCCAACCCAGCCCGCTTCTGACGGATCACCGCCAGCATGTGAGCGATGGTATGACGCCAGGCGGCCCTACGGCTCTCTTCCTGGGCCTAGCGCGTGCTCACCTTTGGGGACTGAAGGATGAGGGTCTTGGCGGCAGAGCCAGATTCCGCCCGCGGACCTGCAAGCGTACGCGGCCGCATCCACATGGCGCCAGTCGAGGCGACCACCTCACCTCGCCGTCCAGCCCTGAACGCTGTCGGTCTGCCAAACGGTTCGCTATCGCTATTCCACTGGTCGACGGCGGGCAGACACGATGGGAGGGATTCCCGCCTCCCGCTCCTGCACTGCGGGCTGGGCATTTTCGTCCCTTCTTTTTCCTCCGGGAGCCCTGCTGCGGGAGACAGAACTGACAACCGTTCGGGCTTGGCAGGCCACGAACAGGGCCCTGCGGCCCTATCCATGTTGATGTTGCCTCTGATGGTCCGGGTTGCGGGCGTTTGGAGGAGCCCGCGCTGTGTTTGATACCCAAGTTAAGCTCGCATGTCCTTTGGTACTTGAGCAGCAAGTACCTCTTCCTGCTTGATGATCTGCAGCTGCTTGTATGGAAGAGGCATGTTAGCCCAACTTGACCGCGTGAGGCTCCGGCCCTCTTTGCGTTATTTAGGTATCAACTGAAGCTGGAGTCTGCTGCGCTGTCGACAAGGCCCAGAACCAACGCTGACGGCTTCCCTAAGGCTGTAGACAATACGCGGGATGGATATGGACGTCTCTCTCTTGCAGAAATGTCACTGTGCAAAAACGGGAGCTTCGTATCGAAACGCTGAAGCACTGCACAAACATGGCCCGTCTGGTGCAACTGGAACCGAGCATTCCGCTGCTGCCCCTCCTTCCCCTTCTCCCCCTTCAAACCCCACCACTCCAGCATCAAAGACGTCTCATCCTGGGCTGCCTCTGAAGCCGCAGCCCCTCCAAACCAGCTTAAGTCCCAAGCGCCTGTAGCTACCGCCCTCAGGTACCCGGCGGTTCCTCTCGCAGCCAGCTGACGGCGCCCCTCACCTCAGCTCAGCTCTCTCACCTGTGACCTCACCTCCATTGGGCCCCTCCCGGACCTCAACCCCACCGCATCCAACCTCTTGAACACTCCGTTATTAACGACACTTGGTCTTTGGTGCCGCTCCCGGGTCTTGCGCATCTCCAGATCACATTGCAGAAGCCGTATTCCGTCTTGAACCTCGGGGCTTCCAGAGCAACAGCAGCTTCTACTCACCCAGGCGGGTTTTTACCCCTCCCCCGCCTTTCCGGGACCAGCCACTCACATCATTCCAGGGACCTGTAAAGCAGCAACCTCCACAGTAAACAAAGCAACAGCCTGTCATCAAGCACCATCACAAAGCAGACATGTCGGGCTACCCTGGACAGTACGGCTACGGCGGCGGCGGCCATGACGGAGGCTACGGTGGAGGCTACGGAGGCGGCGGCGGCGGCTACCAGCCTCCCTCGGGCCCGCCCCCTTCTCACCACGGCGGTCACCACGGCGGCTACGGCGGAGGCTACGACCGTCCTCCTCCCGGCCCCCCGCAGGGCTACGGCAACTATCACGAGCAGCCTCCCAACCCAAACCCCGGCAGCAGCTACATGGGCAGGTACGCCCCCCCTTCTCACCCTCCCCCTCCAGGCTTGGATGTCTACGGCTACCCCGTGAACTCCCATGGTGACCAAGGAAGGCCCCGTAAGTCGACCCTTAGCTATCATGCCGGGCCGAGCTAACACGCCGCAGACATGCCCACCGTCAACTCCAACGACTGGGCGCACGGCAACAGAGGCGCGCCCCCTCCCCCTCCCACCGGCGTGCAGCAGTTCGGCCACGGCGCCCCCGAGGGCTACGGCTTCCAGTACTCCACCTGCCAGGGCAAGAGGAAAGCCCTGCTCATCGGCATCAACTACTTTGGCCAGGACGGCGAGCTCCGCGGCTGCATCAACGACGTCAAGAACGTCTCCGCCTTCCTCGTCGAGCGCTACGGTTACAAGCGCGAGGACATGGTCGTCCTCACCGACGACCAGCGCGAGCCCATGGGCCAGCCCACCAAGCAGAACATCCTCCGCGCGATGCACTGGCTCGTCCAGGGCGCCCAGCCCAACGACTCGCTCTTCTTCCACTACTCGGGCCACGGCGGCCAGACCGAGGACATTGACGGCGACGAGGACGACGGCTACGACGAGGTCATCTACCCGGTCGACTTTAAGGAGGCCGGCCACATTGTCGACGACGAGATGCACCACATCATGGTCAAGCCCCTGCAGCCCGGCGTGCGCCTGACGGCCATCTTCGACTCGTGCCACTCCGGATCCGCGCTCGACCTGCCGTACATCTACTCCACCAAGGGCGTCCTCAAGGAGCCCAACCTGGCCAAGGAGGCGGGCCAGGGTCTGCTCAGCGCCTTCCAGGCGTACACGGCTGGCGACCTCGGCGGTGTCGCGAGCTCCATCTTCAGCTTCGGCAAACGCGCCATCGCCGGCGACGACGCCTACGAGCGCACCAAGGAGACCCGCACGTCGCCTGCCGACGTCATCATGTGGTCCGGCAGCAAGGACAGTCAGACTTCGTGAGTGCTTCCAGTGCTGTGTGATTTTGGAGATAATTAACCCGAGCAGCGCCGACGCCAACATCGCAAACCAGGCCACCGGTGCCATGTCCTACGCCTTCATCTCTGCCCTCAAGGCGAACCCCCAGCAGAGCTACGTCCAGCTCCTCAACAGCATCCGTGACGTGCTCGAGGAGAAGTACACGCAGCTGCCCCAGCTTTCCAGCAGTCACCCCATTGGTAAGCTCTCCCGCGTGCGTTGAGACTGCTTTGGCTAACCCCCTTAGACACGGATATTCTGTACGTGATGTAAACGTACTCGTGCGTATGGTCGATTCTGGGGCACGGGAGTACACAAAATAGGTTAATCATAGCAATAAGAATGGCATCCATTGATTCTTGAAATGCAATCCTGGTCTTGGGGTATCGATCCTACAGCTCCTGATTCAACACGCGTGCCACCAAACGCCTTTGCCAGCTTCCAGCCGCTAATCCAGACAGCAAACCAACTCTAGTAATCTCAAACACAATGCGCCTGCCAATATCGTCCGCGCGTATACTCAAACACCATTTACATATCCGCAAAGGGGTCGTCGTCTTCAAAAGGGTCAAAAGTAGCAGCGCTCTTCTTGCGCTTGCTGGCGCGCTCGGGGCTGCTGCTGCCGCAGAGGTCGATGAGATCATCGTCCGCCTTTCTCTTGCTCGCGGTCGATGCCGAAGAGCTGCCAATGTTGGGCGAGCGCGCAGACAAGACATTTGCGGCCCGGCCGGCTGCTGACGTGCCAAATTGTGTACGGCGCGTCGTGTTCTCCTTGTCCTTAGCAAGGCCGTCGAACCGCGACTTGGCCATGGCCGAGGACGTTCCGGCGCTCACCACGTTTCCGGCGGCCGTCTTCACCTCCCACGTCGATTTGGAAGACCGCTTCTTGCGGGCTTTTTCTGCGTCCAGGACCGCTGACATGAAATCTGGCGCCCGCGATGTGGATGCTGACGACCCGGGCGTGGTGTTCAGGGGCGAGGTCGTTGACAGGCCGGGGATGGCGTTGTGTCTGCTTGCGAAACCGCTGACCGTCTTCAACAGTGGCGCCGTTTTGGTGTCACGCGCAAGTCCGCTCTTCCGGATCCCGTTGCGCACCGGCTCCCTGTTCCGCGTACCGCCGCCGCCAAACGATGCGAGCGGGTCCCGTTTGACGATGGGCTCGGGCGCTTTGGAGCTGCTGCTCGCTCCCGCATCATCAAGGGAGCCCATCGGCGGTTTCGAGTAGTCGTTAAACTTGGGCGTAGACTGCTCTCGTCGGGGCGGTTGAAGATTCTTGAGACGATCCCTCGTAGACAGCCCGCTCTTGGCCTGGGCGCTTCCCGGCGTCTTCTCCTTCTTGACTGACGCGAACATATCGCGAATGCTTCTGGATTGGCCGCGCTGCGAAGAGCTTGAGGGAGTGTGCTCAGTCTTGACGCGCGCGAGCTCGATGCGCGGTTCAGTCTTTGGTGTAACCAAGCCACCGACCGTGGTTCTAGCACTTGCCCCTGGCTCTCTCTTGACGGCCGTCTCTCGAACGCTCCTGCTAGGGGTCGCCGTGGAGACGGAAGTATTCGCAGATGACGACGAGCTGGTCCGAGAAAGCCCAGATCCGCTGGCGGACGTAAGTGATGGCCTCGCTGGTGTGCGCTGGACGGGATCCGCGGAATCAGCATCGCCCAGTTTCCACATGATGTCTCCCTTGTCGCCGAGGAAGGGCAGCAACCTCGACGGTTCAAACTGCCGCACGGTTCTGGACGCCTCCTGTCTGCGCAACGCTTCAATCTTGCCAAGCTCCTTGTTCACCAGAGAGACCTTGTTCAGCTGCATCGTGATGGACATTTCGTTTTTGCCAAAGATTGTCGTCTCGATGGGCTTCCTCTGCTGGCGGAGCTGCTCCTGAATATGGTCAATGACCTTCTTTGGCTTCACCAGATGGAACTTTTTCCAGTTGGGCTGTTCAAAGTAGGCGTCGAGGTATTTGCAGTCGGCGCAGCAGGGCCGCAGCGGCGTGATGGACGAAGGAGCGTCCTCGAACTGGAGGGAAGCGTCATCAAACACCATCTTGTGGTACAGACCGAAAATAGCCTGGAAGAGCTTCTGGAATGCAGGACTCGGATCTACGAGATCGTGAAGACTTTTGAGACAAGGCAGCCACAGAGGAGCCATGTGTATCGGCTTGATCTCTTCCTGATGGTGAACAATGTACATGACAAGGTGAGATAGTTCAGACGTCATGTCGAGCCGGTCGAGACCCTTGAACAGGCCGGCGAGCAAGGTAAAGCTTGTCGGGGGCGGTTGGCTCTGACCCTCGAGAAGCTCAGCCGACGGCTCGTCTTCGCACCACGTCTGTCTTGCGGTTTGCGCCTCGGTGCTGTCGTCTTTCAGTACGTTGCTGACGAGCTGGCTTACCAACCCTGGAGGAGCGCTGATGATGGGCATTTTGTAATCGTTGTAGAACATCTTCACCTGATCAAGGGGAAGGTTTTCCCGCTTTGCTACATCGAGCAGCCTGTTCAGCAGACCCAAGATGAAGGGTACCTGTTTCCGCAGCTCGCGAGATCCACATACGGCCGAGTTGACCCTGTATTTGGTCAGTCTCAATTCCTCAACAAGGGAGAAGCACCCACATTTTGTGCCAGTCGTCAAAGTTCTCAAAGAACTTCAAAAAGTCCGCGATAACGCGGCCGTGGTTCGCTGTGACTGGAGGCTTCAGCAAGGTCATGGCCTCGTTGATCAGCTCCTTGGCGACGTTGGTGGCCTCGACATTCTGAAAGTCTACCGGCATCTTGTTCATCGGGGCGGCAACGTGTAAGAAGTGGGCGTTCTTGAGAAAGAAGCGGCGCAACCTGTATCTGTGTCAAATGCGTCTCCATTCACGACAAGGGAATACGTACGCCCCGAGGGCTTTCGCCGCGGGATATCCCGTCCTGTCGGCATTCTGACACAACAAGTCGTAATTGATTGTTGGGTGCACCGGCGTGTTAGCAGCGAGACGCTCGAAGAGTGAATGGGCCCGGAAGACCAGGGAGACCACAATCAAGTCGCCCATGATGAGAGGATCCAGCGCCTTGATCCAATCTTCTCGGTTGCTGACCCTCATGCCGAGAATTCGGGTTTCCGCCGGTGCTTCGCTCTCCTTTGGGAACACGTAATCGCACAGCGCCTCCAGGGCTTGGAAATGCTCCTGTCGCTTCACCGGGGCCTCGCACTGTTTGAGTAAGTGCCACCAGACGTTGGCGTAGGGCTGCGGGTTTTCCGCGAAATCAACAAGATCCAGTTGCGTGCTCGTGGGCACGATCATGATGGCCTGCGGCTGGTGAGCATAAATCGCGTCACATGGAGGGGTCAGACCAACAGGTGCGAAGTACTTGCCGAGGTCGGCAGTCGTCCCGGGGACGATCTTTTGATACCACTTGGGGTTGTTCTCGCGAGCCTGGCGCTCTTCATCGAAATACCTCTGCTCCTGGGGCCCTTGCCAGAAGAACAGCCCGCGGCGGGCACGCTCCCACGCAATGTTCCTCTCGTCGAGGACGTTGCCTTCCTTGCAGTCAATTTCCTCTGCAAGGTTCGCTCCCGAGAACCCCCTGGACTGGTAGACGTGCGGCGTGTGGCGTACGTGCTGGTACGTCTTCCAGAACCCGTCCTCTCCGATTTGAGGTTCCGAGGCATGGCCGTTGGACTGCTCCTTGGACACCCACGCGTTGTACTGGCACGCAGTCCCGGTGTATTCCAGGACCACGGGGAGAACCTCGAAGCCGGCCTTGGGGCACTCGCAGCGCAGTCGGGCGACAAGAGCGGCATCCGCGGCGCACATGTCCCGGGCCAAGACCCAGCTCTCAAAGTCCCGGATGTTCGCGGGCGGGTGGAGATGGTAGAAGGCCCGCTGGTGCAGCAGGTTGCGCGCCTCGATCCTCGAGCTCCAGAACTTGAGAACCTCGGACAGCCGCCTGGAGGCAGCATCAGGCTCATCTTGATGGTGGTCGTTGGCGGCGGGCTTGCTGGACGTGTCGGACCCACCCGCCGCGTAAATGGCCTCGATGGCGGCGTACAGTTCGGTTCGCAGCGCGTTGTCCAACGGCGCCGAGGTCCCGTGCAGGACGCCGGGCCTCGTGCTGCGCCCAGGCTCTGTCATTTTTATTTCATCCGACGTTTGTATGAGAGTGGCACATTGAGTTGGAGTCGTTTACAACATCTGATGTGAGGCGCGCGTTGGTGAATTTGCGTGGAAAGCCAAAAAAAAAAAAAAAAAAAAAAAAGAAAGGAGATGAGCTCGACGCGTGCATGGGGGGTGGTGGGAGCTACGGCCCCTGGCCAGCTTGCTGGGTGCTGAGACCCGGCGCTGAAGCTCACCCCCGCGATCTGCCCCGCTCCTACGGCACTTGAGGCGATCGGATGTAACGATCCGGCGCGGTAGACGGCAGAGGCATGCAATACGTGTGACTACATGGAGATGGAAGAACGAGTGAAGTATTTGCTCGAGCTCTTTTCCAAGGTAGGTGGTTGATTTTCAGGGTCCTGGTGGACTGTTTCGCGGTGCAGGGAGGACGCAGACATGCTTCAATAGCTGTCGAGAAACGCCTGGAAACAATGAATGCAATTGCCATTAGGGACTCTTCCATTAGATTCGTAGGCTCAGCTTTTGTTTGTAAATTTGGTATCTCAGTTCCTTTAATTTCAACCTTCCAATCAAGCCGAGTGCCCAACAAGCACTTCGTCAGCGTCTATGGCCCTTTGCCTATCCAGCAGCACCATCTTGACCCATCAGTCGCCAACCTGGCCGTCGCATCAAAACGAGTCAGACGCTCGCGGGATCGGTGGATCAAAGCGCGGGCAAACCCCTGGGGCCGTGCAGAAAACCGTTCGTCTGAAATTGGCGTCATCATCCCGACAAGCAAACAAGGCACGGAACGACGCATTTCGACAGTATCTTCTTCATTCGCATCAAAAGACAAGACCCCGTAGTGACACGCTCCTCCAGACCCAGCTCGTCAACATCCAGAATCCCCAGAGCGTCGCCAGAGAAGCCGCTCCCACGACCACGAGCACCTGCCCTCGGACCTCGAACGCGTCGTCCATCTCCATACGCATCAGCTTCTTCTGCTTGCTGTGGTAGTAAAACTCGCCCGGCTCCTCCCTGGGACTTGATCTGGGACTGGGATTCGGTGTCGTGGATTCCTTCTGCATGTACGTGTACGGTGAGTGACGGTACACGATGCTGTGTAGCCAGCTGGGCATCCAGCCGCCGCCGTGGTGGTGGCCGCGATCCCGGGATCTCTTTAGTGTATACTTCAAGTCGACCCACACAAGGGAGAGGAGAAACGAGACGAAGATGATGGGTGTCATGATACCCTGCGAGAGTGTCAGTCTCAACTCTTCTGGATCGTCAAGTTGGGACAAACCTTGTAGAGGGTCGACTGCTGCATGGTGCCGGCATCGCTGCCGCTCCTCGTGGCAGTGACTTTCGTGGCTGTTGCTGATGACGACATAATCCCACTACTGGACCGGGTACTCGACACACTTTCCGCAGACTGATTCCTTCGCATGTCGACGATATTAAGCTCTCAATGCGAGCTGCTTCCGATGAACCGCAATAGATTGTCCACGGCAGCCAAAGTTCGTGGTGCCTGAGAGTCGGGAGGGAAGGCAAAAGACGTCGGTGACGACGGGACGGCGGCGTGCGGAGACAGGAATACAGTTAAATATTTTGGAGCTTACCTACCTACAGTCGACCAAAGCCAGTCCGGGCGGGACCTTCGGCGCGGCCACCTGGTCACCGCCCGCTTTCCCGCCCGCCGCTCGTTCGCTTTCGCTTCACCCTTTTTTTTGTTAGTTCCCTGACGGTAATAGCCCATATCCTTCTACCGTCGGGTTCGCCTTCGATACGCCCTGTTTGGCGCGTGCACTGCGGCCGGGACACGGGAGTGACGGAGTTGGCCCCACTTGGCGCACTTTGCGTGTTGGCGATCAGCAGGAGAGGTCCAATCGACACCAGCACCTCGACACGACACAGGGCTGCCCGACGCCTACGTAAAGCTTCGATGGAGAGCCGATTCGCGCAGGCTGTTAACGCACAGCTTCCCCGTTGACCAGGGGCTCAGTGCGTTGGGCCTCGCACGTCGACAGGGCTGAGGTGCAGAGCCTCGGAAACGCGACGCTAGCGGCGCAAGCAACCGGCCGGCGCTCGACTGCGGTACATCATCGTCCACAGCCACAACTGCGACAATTGCGTCGGTGATCAGCGTGCGTTTCACCATCTACACCTTCACTTTACGTTTTGAGAGCTCGCCCTTGTTTTCCAAGACAAACGGCTCTCCAAGACAAATATCTGATCCGCCCTCACGTGTATTACAAAGGTATCTCGTGGTCGTCGTCTAAATGGTTTTCAGATCTATCGAGTGTTGTGGATATCAAGCACCAAAATGTCCTGGGCGCCAACGCGGGTCAGGTCGTCCATCACCAGAGCAATCCTCTTCTTCTCCACCATGGAGCTGACGGCAACCCAGCCCTCCTCGTCCAGCGTCGTGATGGTCGGCGCCCGCTTGCCGGGGGTGATCTGCTTTGCCTCGACGAGGCGTGACCTCTCGATGTTGTACTGACACAGGACAAACCTCTGAGCGGTGATGACACCGCGGATGCGGGCGGCGATGAGCTCGACGAGCTCGACGTTGGAGGGGTTGCGGGACTTGATCAGGACGGACTGCGAGTCGACGACGGTGTCGATGGCCTTGAGGCCGGCGGCCCTCATGGTCTCGCCAGACTCTGCGATACGTCAGCCTCCGTTTTCACAAACAAAAAGGGACTACTCACCAACGAGATCGACGATGCCGTCGGCAACACCCAGTGCGCAGGCGGCCTCGACACTTCCGCTGAGCTCAATGATCTTGGTGCGCAGCTTCCTGGGCGACGTGTTGCTGTTGCCGTCGGCGTCGACGCCCAGCTCGAGCTTGGCAAAGTGCTCCTCGGCCAGGTTGACGAAGCTGGTGCCGATGGTCTTGCCGACCAGGTCTTGCGTTGTGGCGTAGGCTCCCTTCTCGGGGACCTGGACCTGGAGCTTGCAGGCACCGAAGCCGAGCTCCATGACCATCTCGCAGCCACCGGTGGGCTTCAGCTCGCCATCGTTGAGGTCGACGGACGCTCTCCTCGACTTGTTGTGGGCAATAATGCCGGCATCGTGCTCCCTGACCTGGTCCCAGCCCGTGATTCCGAGGTCGACACGGCCCTCGCCCACAAAGGTCGGGATATCGGCGGCAGGCAGGAAGATGAGGGCGATGGGGAGGTTCTTGACGAGGGCAATGTCGAGACGGCTCTCGCGGCGGAACTTGATGTCGGCTCCCTCAAGCAGGTCCAGGGTGGCCGAGTTGAGGCGGCCCTCTGCGGATGGCATTGTCAGCGCATAGATCCACGGCAGACGCGGTTGACTCACTCTTGGGCACGGCGAACAACAGGCGACCCTCTAGGCTTTCCTTCGCGATCAGCTTCTCCTTGAACTGGGCCATGATGCGTTTGGCTTGGGGAGGGGTAAGACCAACTGATTGACCAGATCCATGACGGGCTAGGTATGTATACGCTCTACAATGCCGTGGAGAACGTGGGGGTGTGTTTGCCCTCGATGTCGTTATGGGCTCGTGGATTGGGCGAGAACGTCGGGCGCGCAGGGATGGAGCACAGCGTCGTAGCAAATCCAATGATGCGACAAGATTTCTGCAGCAGCGAGAACGGCAGCCGGGTTGCACAAGGGACGGCGGGGTTGGGAAGGTTAAGTTGGAGCGATTGCCGAGTCAATTGGCCAGGGCCGAAGATGTTGAGGTGAAGATGAGATGGCCCGGCTGGCTCTGCGCGACTTTGTATTCTCTTTCCGTCGTCTCTCGTTCGTCGCGGAAGGTGTCCGGCGGGGTGGTTCTGCGGTGAGTCAAAACGGAGGCACTGAAGCCAGACGACGCGGAAATTTTGTGTGGGCTGGGCCGTCTGGCTGGTTAGTGTGCCGCGGTGCAGCAGCGCTAGCGTTCACCACGTTGGCCTATGTCGGAGCTCGACTGGCCGCAGAGACGAAAAAAATCGCAGAGGTGCGACGGGATGGCGGGGCACGCCGTTGAACGCGGGGCAGTCCTGGACGTCTGCGGCGGCAGATGCCGGACGCTGGAGGGGCAGCGCCGGTGGAAGCATGAAGTGACGCATGTCCTGCGCGGCATTGCCCTATTCGTGAGGTGGAGGGCCGCAATTGTGGAGCGCAGTGCAATTGAGAGAATGCCATCTTCAACGACGGTATTCGTTGTCGATAGGAGCAGCCTTGGTGTTGGTGGTGTTGAGGCCGTTGACTTTGCGGTGATTGTCAACAAGAGATGGACGGTTTCTGCCTCTTCCATTGGCAGAAGATATGCCATTCAAAGCAGACGAGACCAACCTAATTCAACTCAACTCAGACAGAGACAAGCAATTCAACGTGTCCCAACGCCTGGCCTTAGACAGCCGCATTCCTCTTCAGACCGATGATCAAGGGTTTCGAGTGCCTCTGTCTCTGTCACAACCACGGCTCGACAACCGACCTGTTAAGGTTTAATGCAAGGGGTATTTCCAACCAGAACACATTGCAATGCTGGAGCGCCGAGAGAATGGACGTAGGTTCACGCGTTAATTAGATGCATATTAGCGACCAGGAACAAGATCCAGTTGATTGGACATGCCGACTACTCGGAGTCTCCCTCTGTCCGCCCTGGTCAGAGCTTCAGCACCAGAAGGCCCGTCGGCTTCCACCTGGCTTCTATTTCCAACAGCACCTCGCCCGGGGAAACAAACGACAGGGAGACGAGGCACGGCGACAGGCCAGGTAGGGAGACACCTTCCACCAGGCCACTTAGACGAGACACTACTCGTGCCGTCTGGACTCTTGTTATCCACGCACGGCAGCATTCTGTGCTCCCTCGCATCCTCGTTGTGTCCAGTAGGTTTTCACGAATGTCGCAGTATCTCTCCATCAAGCCACGCTTCTTGCTGGAGCTGATGACCCCATCCGCACCGTCCGTCATGCTCTTGTCGTCCTGGTCCGTCCGTGTATCAAATGCGCCGCCCCTATCCCCGACATCCAGTACCTAATCATTACATACTTTATCCCAACCGCCCGCAGCCGCCAGAGTG